TCTTTTGACTCACAAACCAAAATTATTGTTATAAATATAGTAGTACCTACTCATAATTTATAATAATCATGCAGCTTAAGATGTTTTATATTTCAATTTTAAAGTTTCACTAGTACCTAATGCATGTCAATTTGTATTTCTCGTACATCAACTTTCTTGTAATCTTATGAAACAGAATAATAAACATGTCCATAAAACTATCAACTTATGTTCATTCAAATTCAACAATATTACATATTATTAGTATTAGAAACATAATAATAAAATATAGTATAATGTATGTTATGACTGTTATGAGTGAAATTAAAGTAATTGTAATTTCACTATATATAATATATTATATATTTGCTGGTACAAACTATATTGGACAAGTCTGTGACTGCGATTTCTATAGATATATTTTGTCCGAACCTATATGGCTACATCGAATGTTTCTAGTCATTCAACGTTTTGATTTAAATAATATTTAAATCTATAGCGTGAAACATAAATTCAATCGATATATACACTGGGAGCTTATCAATATCCGAGTCCTTGGCGCGCATTTTAGGTAAATAAAAACGGGTCAAATGTTGGGCAATAATAATATAAGCCCTCGAGAACTGAGAAAAGATCGAATCTGGCGTATATTACCATTTATATACATATACAATATGATGTTTATAGTTGGAAATTTATTTGTGCACGTCGTATAGCACGTTCGATTTTTCATTTAGTTTTAATACGTTATTATATTATGTGCATATATAAGAGTATTAAATCTTGTGGTTTCGCGCCCTAGACCAGTTTATTTATTGTATACTTATACATAAGTGTAATATATCCTTTAGCCTTGATCAAAAAGTATTTTACGTTATTTAATTTATAATTTACGGTAAAAGGACGACCAACTGTATATTTATGCGACGACCGTTAATTTCTTTTTTATCACCGGCACTTGAATGCCTAGCAATAAAAATACGTTTTCCGAATTTTCAATCAACGTCTTCTTACTTTGTGATAATACAAGGTAGTCTTGTGGTTCTATTTTAGAAATAATTATAACTATGTGTTTGAACTTTAAAGTGAAAATAATTGGAGAATTTTAGAAGTACTTTGATATGTACTTATAAAATTATACCTACCTAATTACTCTTAAAACATTCATACATGACCTAAAATCAAAATCAAAATACAAACATGTATTTAATAGCGGTAGTAGCTGATATTATAAGAGAAAAAACAGTTACTTAATCAATTATACCATATAGTTACGTATAGTTTACATCTAAGGTTAACTTTAAAAAAATGATGTGTTATCCGATAAAACTTTGTATAGTGAATTTAAATAGTTTATATAACATAAAAAGCAGATAAATAAATTTGAAGTTACAACAGTTTGGTAATATTACAATTTATAATATACATTTATAGCAATAGATTTTTCTAACGGGAGTGATGAAGAAATTGAAAATTGTTAATAGCTGATTATTTATTAGAATAGTTAACATTTCAAAATGGAATGAACATCATAGTGTGTAGTGAGATACTTAGTCATATTCTTTTTACAAAGAACAATTAAATTGTATGTCTAAGTTTTTGTTTACAATTGAAATTAATTTTTGGACAGAAAAATTCCTACATCATTTAATTTCAATGGTACCTATACTATATACGTTATTATTACTGTAACAAATCTATAATTGAACACAATAATATAATGTGTAATTAACACTGGTTAATGATAAATAGTTAGTTAACATTTTTAACACACATTTATTATAATTACTATAATTTTTTTTTTATCAGTTTCGTTTTAAGTTTATTATATTTCAATTCTTTCTAAAATGTTATGAGAAAAAATACCTTTTAATGTTAAATAACAGTAAATAAAAATACATAAATTAATTTACAAATCGACGTAGATATGCATCTTGATTCATTATGAATTCCAATCACTAATTGATGTGGTAATCCTATGTTGTACCACCCATGTCCATTGTTCGTCTTCCTAGTTACAAACGAAACCTCAATGCGACTTTATTATTATTGAAGAGTGCGTGCAGATGAGTCATGTTTTAAATTTAAAATTGTTTTAGCATATAGTTAGAGTTTTGTTTTAATAAATCCATAGGGGCCAAATAATATTAATAAATATTATATATTTATATCGTTAATAACAACTCAAAACTTAATAGTAACAACATGAGAATATGCTATTCATAGATCAGCAAACGACCCTCATTCTTCAATTTATTCTTGATTGAATAGTGCACAAATATATATAGATAATGGTCTTATGTATATACGTAATAGGAAGTTTGAAGGGTCGAAATTGGCTTTTACTTTTTACAGACAGTAAAAACACTAAAATATCAATCTATTTTTTAATATTATACAATCTACTCTTTCATACAATGAAAATATTTCTAGTATGAATTATGTAAATGCAATTTGAGTTGCAACTTTTAATTGTTACATTGATAAATTGTGTTTCTTATTTCATATTCTCGTGCTAGTGAAAAATTGAACTTAACTAAAATTGCTGGTACAAAATAAACTGTCCAACTAAATTTAAGTATATTAATTAAATTGAAATATTATACTATATAATATTATATTATACAATTACCAACTCTTGTAAGTCAATAATAGTTTGAACTCGTTTATGAAGACAACAAGAAATAAGAACTAAAAGTTGGTATGTAACAATATCAACGCCAATTGTATCGTGTTGTGATATTGAAGGTATATAATATATTATAATATCTGTATGATTTTATGATTGTTTTTACTTCTATTTATCAATGTATTAGATGCAAATATTATTCAATAGTATAATTGGATACGTTGAACATTGATGAAATCAATTGCAGTGGGCTAAATTACAATTAAAACTTTTTTTTTTAATTGCTAACTCTAAACATATGAAAATCAACATAAATACCTTTTTTATATAATATGAATACATGTAAATTATTGTGATATGCCTTTTTTTTTTAAAAGTAATTCCACGAATGAAAATATTCCAACGTTAAATTATTAATTGTAATGCTATAATAATTCAAAGGGCGTTATATTATATGCATGGTATTTATATCAGATACCACTATACCAGAGTTATGTCCATTGTAATAATTTGCAATATCATATTACAATACTAAATAATTTTATTATGTTTAAAATAAACGCATAAATGCAATGCAAAATGGTCATGCCAATATATAATATACATATTATATATTAGTTATTAGTATATTACCATACTATTATTAAATATCTCTAATGTTTTAAAATGTATATGCATTATCTGTTTGTCAATTTATTGTTATGCCGCATTGTAGATTTATTATTATTTTTATGATTACGTTGCATTTATAAACTGTGGGAATAGTTTTTTTGTAAATACGTTTATTGTTCAACGATTCAAATGGAAAATAATAAATAGTATTTTGTGTTTATTGCATATAATAGAGTCTCCACTCTCCAGAGGGATGCATGAGAAATAATTGGTACACACAACACATTATCTCCTTTGATAGGTACTCAATGAAAAGTATTCTGGAATATGATTTTAATAAATTTAGAAGTATTTATTTTTTTTGCAAAAAGTAAAAAAAAAATTATAAGTAAAAACGAACTTTATTCATTATTTCTTAATAATGGTTGAAGGTTTAGGTTCGTAAAAAAATCAAAAAAATGCATCGGTAAGGTTTCGATTCTAATATTTTCAAAAAGTTCAGATTCAAATACTAGTATTTTTGATTTCGGTTCCAAGCCCTGAGTGATTTACCCCAATAATTACTCATACCTCTTGCAATTTCATGCAATTTTCTCGTATTTTTGCGAGACCATTTTACACAATAATATTATTGTTTATGAATCGCGAACGGGTGCATTATATACGTATTTTATACGAGCGATTAGCCTATCTAGGCAATTCAAGATTGTGGACCGCAATATTTCATACTATATTGTATTATAATATAATACACTCGCAGAGTCAGAGCAGACTTCGGTAATAATTGTCGCTTTTTCAAGTGAGACGTGTACACATTACACATGTATAATATATATAGACATACTATGGTACACTTGTAAACTTCCTGAAATATAGCATAATGATTATACCTATTACCTACACAAGTATAGATATAGATGTATCATGAATCATAATAATTCATAATATCGTACAATCGTCTCGTTACAATAATAATAACGGCTTGTCGCGCGTGCTGTACGCCTGTACACACACACACAAAATATATATATAATTATCGATTCGGTGCGTTATAATAAGTATAATATAGCGTTCCAATAACGCACGCGGCTTACAATCACATATAATATAGTAATAATATATAATATACACACACTGCACTGTTGTGGGCATATTGTAATATACGTACACGCGTAAACATAAAAAGGTAATAATAATAATGTAAAAAAACGTTATTGTATGTGTGTACATTTTTTGTACGTTGACCCTCGGACATCAGCGGTGGTGGTTGCTTCGGTTACCTATATATTATTATTATTATTATTATTATATCATGTTATACACTTATAACTATTATGCAGCTATAGATATACTTTACGGTATAAAAACCCAAATGCTCCGCCGCCGTACCTCGCCCCGCCGCACCACTACCCGCTAATCATAGTGTACCCGGCGACGGTGGAGGGGAGGCGTTTCTCTGGCGGCGACGTGCACCCTTATCGCGAGTGGCGGTGGCGGCGGCGGCATCGTCGTCGTCGTCGTCGTCTACCCGACGACACGCGTCGTCCGATCAGTGTGTTCGCCGGCGTTCGTACGGCGATTACACCGTCGACGCCACTGGCCCTGTTGGTCACCGACGAAGTGTTTATTGACGCGCGCTCGCTCGTTCGAATCCAAGTGCGCCTGTCGATGTCACGATATAATATTTTTATTAAAAGGAAAAATTATAACGACGAATAATTATTATTATTGCGACACGTCAATTTTTGGATAAAAATCAAACGCGAATATTTGTTGTTGTTTTTTTATTAGTTGGCCTGCAAGTGCGAATTAAATTTTTTTCCGAACGCGTGAGAATTTTTTTTCATTTATACTTTAACTTTTTTTTTTTCAATTCACGATGGACGAGACTGACCCGTCAATATCAGTGCCGTAACCCAACTAGTCGAAAAAGACTAATACACTCGAATATTGCACGAATTAATTGTATTGTATATTAATATTATAGTTGCAAGCCTAAAACCGTATATTTCAATTCCTACATAATTTTATTCTTAATACGTCAATACGTGCACACAAAATCGCCAACCATGGGACTTAGGTGAGTCGGTTTTATTTCTTTTCTTTTTTTTTCATCCACTTTAAAAAAATCCAGTCCCTTTAGATAGATTTGTCATGCTATTTTTTGCCTTCGTCTGTCGCAGGCACGTACCTATATACCTCTCTATATAGGTAGTAAATATGTTTGTGTATGTATATGTATAAATATATATGTATAATAGCCACTCGACTGCCTAGTGAAATGTGGTATTGCAACGGGGTCCGAATATTTTGTACCTGAGTTTCCAGTAAACGTGGTTAGGTCCGTCTATTTAATATTCGTATATAAGATGGTACGTTTGATACTTGTGTATATATATTATAGCACATAAATAATAAATTACATGGTAATATAATATATACACACGTGATGTGTTCTATTGAACTATGCTATATTAAAATTATTTTAATACGCATTCCCTGCCGTTTAAATAGTACAAAACATTTAGACAATAAATTATTTGCCGTTCAACGGATTAATAAATTATTATCAAACTATAATAATGTATATGTACCAGGTACCTATACGTATAGGTATGCACGCCGAATACGCCAATAAATCAATCATAATAATATTCTACTCGTTTTAGATACGCGCTGTGCCACTGTAATGCGTTTAAAAGTCGAAAATTGTGCGAGATTAATGTTTTTATACAATCCGCAAAAACGATTAATTCGATTGTTCGGTTACGCTTTTTACTGATGATAGTTAGTTTATTTAAGGAGATTTAAAATTAATTTTCATCAATATACCTAGGTATTACAAGGATATAGGTTACAAGTTTACAACACACTTTAATTCTAACAGTATATGAGAATGTTGTTACTTAATAATATTTAATCATTATATCATTGGATTCCCAGCAAATAGCGTTGTATATATATATATATATATATATATATATATACTCGTACCCTAAACTATCTTAATTATTAAGTATAAACCTCAAAGTGACGACGAATACGTTATAGGTATTCAAATTTTAAATTTACTGATAAACAAACTATATATTATTATAAAAAAAGTTACAAGAAAGTTATATCTCGTGAAATATATGCGATATTGTCGTTTATGGTGTACACCAATTAGTACATTTGTACTATTATAGTTAGGTACATATTATGTATTCTATCTCTCTTCTATTCATGTTTTATTTGTTTTATATAATATAATTTTCAATATTTTGAACGTTTTTACTCAGTTTATAAATTGACGTTTAAATTAAATACTTCCATTTTCCTCTAAGAAAATAAAATTGTAATTTAGTGAATACTACTTGAATATTGCTTAAATTAATTCCATACATACGAATTTTTACATCACAGCAGCTGCTGTGTTTGTCAGATAATACTTAGATATCGATATAACTGATATAAGTAACTAATTAATGTAGGAGGTAGGTACAAACATTTTTTCGGATTAATAGTTGAAAGCATATAAATTAAAAATATTTAATTGGTACAATACTAATTTAAACGTCTGTACCTACGTCTTTAACCAACTAAACATTTGAACAATTATTTAATATTTGTGTAACTTGGTATTAGGTATTTATATAATTATTAACTAAAAATGTAAACACCTAATATTTGAGTAGGTACTCATTTATATTAGGTTATTCTGTATTTTAGTACGGAGATATGATGACTTACTGCAATTACTAAACAAATGTTTTTTTCAATTAATGGCAGCTATTCTCAAAATAGTTTATGTTTCTGAGGATATTTTTAAGGACCCGCTTATCTGCAATAATCATGGCTGGTATTTAGTTGAAAATACAAAAAAACTGGATAATTGGTCGATTAATAATTATTTATTATTAGTACAATGATTCATTAATGTGTGACATTTTTTTAAATTATGTTATCCTATATCATTGTATAATAAATAATTATTAATCAATAATAATCACCCTCCCACCAACAAAATGTTACTTGTTTTTCTGAAACAACATACTGATTAAAAGATAGCTGCCACTGTAATCAATTAAATATTTTTGGTATATCTAACGTGTTATGGGAATACACCGATAAACCTTAGCCTAAATGGTTTAAACAACATTCAAAAAATGTATATAGGTACTTTGTTTTTATATCAAATTAATAAAATATCATAACTTTCATTATATTTTTGTTTTTGTAAGAATCATTGGATACAACAATAACGTTCGTATGTACATATATATCGCATACCAACACAGTTTTATATTAACAAAAAAAAATTCACATCAAATCAAATAATACGGTGACCAAAAATGAAATATTTAATCACATTGAATGTATTATATTTTTCAATTATAATGTATAATATTATACACAGTTGAATGGTACTCGGTACAATTTGATTCTTAAACCAATATGAATGTATTATGTATAAGATCGTGTATATGATACGCTGGTACACTACTATAAAATAAATCGTTGTCTCGTCATATAATTTTAAATAAATTACAAAAACATTATACTATACATAATGTAGCACCCCCAACCACATATATATTTTAACTCTGTGGATATAATATTAGTTAACCTAAGTGACAAATTAGTACTTACATGTTAAGTTGAGCATAGGCGTAGCGTAGTGGATTTTTTTTTTGGGTGGGGGGGGGGCGTTTTTTCCCCTCGTGGTATCGACGACGCTGCCGAAATTCTTTGCTTATTCTGAGGAGGCTTAACAAAATTTTTGGGGGGCTATAGCCTTCTTAGCCCCCCTTCATTCAAAGCCTATGTAGCCCAGTAAAATAGACCCAATACGTATCTATGCGACCATGTACGCACTATGTGGTACTTTACGTACACATGAAAACGTGTAAATACAGCTTGTGTAATAAAATTATGTGCACAAAATCGTATTTTATACAAATAGTGGGAATACCTATAGTCCATAGGTATAGTCTATGAATATTACGTATTACTATGTATTAGGTACTATACCTATACATTGTAATTTTACCAATAAGTCATCTACTAGTAGGTAAATTCATCTTTATATTGGTAGGTACTAGGTATATATAAATGTATGGCAGTAGATAGGTACATTATAGTACTTTTATATATTATATCATTGATTATACATAGTATTATTATTTATTAGATACCACCGAGACCTAAATACGGACCCTTGAATCTAAATTTGATATGATCAGCTGATACACGCGATCAGATTTTTCGACAAAAATTTATCATCCAGACATCTAGCGCTTGGTTAAAACAATACGATAATAAACGAAGATTGCAGCACATACAATATAATATTATTTGTACATATATTATTATTATACGTTCTTCGTCGCCGTTCTCGTTACCGTTTATTAGAAGACCGTTGGTTGTGGTGGTTGGTGGTGGGTGGCAGGGGAAAAATACTGTAATTACCGGCGGAATACGCGCGCGCTCGCCTTTTGTGTTTTCACTGTTGTAGCCATGCCATCTCGGACTGTATATAGACTATATTTCTATATTGTATAGTAATATTACATTATATAAACTGAGGTTGGGTGGGTAGGTTGGTCTGTCGGTCGGTTATTGGTTGGCTTTTACCTCTACGTATATAATATGTACGCGTTGCCGGTAAAACCACTTCGTATGTAAATACGAGCACATTATAATTTAGGTGAACCGTTTATTGTGTCGTATTGCCGGAACGAATAAAAAACAAAAAGTAACCGGCCGGCGACGAGCAGTCATTGTAGATAATAGTTTTTTCAAAGTCCGTTTAGGCGTATATGTATAATACTCCGGTTCGTGCAGCAGTATCGGATCCCCTGCGATATCATCTTTGGGTTCATACATTATATAGGCCTTATTCTAATAGACAGTAGATCTCGAATCGGGCAGCAGGAAATACCAAAAGTGTTGCAGTTAGATTAAATAATTATATTACTTACCTATTGATCCAAACATTTCCATGATCCCGTCGGTTATCTAGCTAGAATATCATTCGACAACACATCGAATTTATATATACATTATACCTAATTATATATTTTGTTGATTTTAAACATTACCTCTATATTACGAAAAGAAATTTTTTTAAGATTTATCTCTATTACCCAACTACAGATTATAAACACTGGCTTCCTATTTTAGGCAATGGCCAATGGTAATTAAATCCTCAGAATAAAGCCAGCGTAGGTCTAAACTCAAAATGTATAATAATATTATCTTCTTTCCTCAGTAGCAACATGTATATAATAATATTATAATACGTTTACAAAGTATATCAGTGCGGTGGCCGCGGTGATGTGTCCGATAAAAATAATACGCGCAAAGTCCTCTCGGCGTTCGGAAATAGCCGACGAAAGAATTTGGCACGTTCGCTCGCCGCGTCGTTGCTTGAGTGCGATATTAATGCAATACGCGAGCGCGCCGTCGGAGGCGGGTGACCGATATTTTTTTCCATCAGATTCGTATTTATTTATAGTATATTAGTATATAGTATATACCTATATTATGTTTATATGCCATCATTGCACATTGGTGTTTAAATTACTCTTTCGAGACTTTTGCAAGCCTTTGCGGACGTGGGGGTATGTTGTTTTTTTCCGAGGTCTGCACTTTGCAGTGTTTAACAATTTTTACTTTCTTATACTCTTATCCATCATAGAACAATTAAGGACCTAATGTAATCAATAATATAACTTCGCTGTTACAAATGCATTTAGTTATAAACTCAAGTCATTGTAGTAAACAATTTGAAACAATTTAGTACCTACCTAAATATATTACATTCTTTTATATCTATTTAAAAATAATTAATAAGTAGAGAATTTGAATACTTTTTTACAACTTCTTGTCTGCTGCAGAACATAGAAAAGGATGCTATTTACAAAACACATCTTAAACATTTTCTGATCAAGGTTACCCCTTTCTAACATGACAATATTATATGCGAGTTATGTATAGTTTTGTGCTGCTATATCATACACTGATTTGGTTTTTCCATATATTCTGCAGCATTTGTGCCCGCCCGCTCGTAATATATAATATTATAATAACTATCCA